TGGGGGGGGGGGTGCAGGTGTTCTGAAAAATCATCAGGAAAGTATCCTGGCCATTTGCCTGAAATGTTTTTGTCAATTTTACCTTCTTCCTATCTTTAAGGTTCTTCATCCCAATTTGTGGACACTGTTTTTTAATTAACATTTTTCATAAAATGAATATACATTTCTTGGGAGCACTTCTGTTTTGTGCTAAATTTTGGCCTTGTGACCTCTACATTATACAGACATTCTGGCAACAGTCCCATTGTCAAGTGTGGACAGCTGACAAGCAGATGCTAAGACACCCACTCAGTTTCTGGTTCTGTTTTCACTTTCAAAATGCAACATTTGAACTTTGTTTGATCCATATGAGACTAATAACAGCATAGGAATTCAGTTCTAATAAACAGCATTTTTCAAAGTACTGTATCTAAGAGATATTATCGCTCTTTTATCACATCCATTTCCACACTGAAGAAGACATTCATAAAAATATATAATCATATGCTTATAAAGATATATTTAGGACCCACTTTCCTTCTTCAGTCCCTATTCAGGTTAAAATTACTGGACTCAGTGGTTGCTTTTTTTCCTGCAAAAGGACTACAAGCAAAAATCAGAACATTTGAACAGAAAACAGTACATCATTTGAGATACTTTCAGAGATATTAAGAATGCAGCAAGCAGACTACAGCCTGCTATAGAGCCTGGGAAAGTAAACTCATTGTTTTTAATCCTACCACTGACACATGCCGCATGGACATGGGCTAGTCTGTACCTTCATTGCCCGCCTCCTACATGAAAATCATGTACTTACCTCATTGGGATTTTGTGGATTTTGTTATCAATAGTAAACACAGTTGAAGTCAACCTGATTATATTACATTTTTGCAAAACATGTATTTCTGTAGGTGACATGATATCAATAGGTATAAAGCACATGAATTTATTGAGTGTATTGTTCTGTTAGAGGACTTGCTATGACTTTATAGAAACTGTAATTTTTATAAAGCAATATTAATTCAATACGTACAGGAACACCATCTAAACCAGGAAATCCTGGGACTCCAGTTGGGCCCTAAAAACAGGTGACATGAAAAAACAAAATTGCTGAGGTCATTAACTCTTAAAAAGAATGAAAGACAAGAATATGTGATACTATATAGCAAGAAACAGTCTTGTTTGAAATATGAATCAAAAGCCGTAATTGTCAGAAAGAAATATCTGAAAAAAATTATATAGGCTTAGCAGGAGACTAGTGCCAATAGCTATGCACGTAACAGATGGTACAGTACAGGACAAATGTCTAACTCTCATATTCATTCATTCTCCAAAGATTATAAAATAACAGAGAAGGGGAAGTTACCTATAACTTATAATTCTGTATGTAATTTTGCAACCCTGCTCCTGTTTTGATAATAGCAGCAGCACGATTTCTATTTACAGTGCTTACATTTCAGGTGTGCTAGATACTGACACTAGTGATTTCAGTCATCCATGGAGATCAGTGGAATTAGACAATTAAAACTAATATGAAGTACCAAGAGCCAAGCACAGGGATTGTACAGCTATGAAAGATATGGACCTGAACTGCAATTTATACTCCCTAAGTGGTAATGAAATTCTGTTTCATGTACAGCACTTTTAAAAGCACCATACTCCTCCCTCCAGTTCCACATTCCTCCCACGGCTCTATTTGACGTTAAGGAGGATGATATGGTATATAACAATCAGAGACTGGGTCTGCTTCATTTCATGTCTTCTGACAATTATAATTTTGCAATCCACAGCAAAAACCCCCTGAAACATTTTTTTCAAGAAAGCTTTAATTAGTTTCAGTGAAAATTTTGTGTGAGCAAGAGTATAGCTTGGCAAATGCTTTTTGATTATTCAGGTTCTGTTTCACTTGCCAGTATTTAACATTACATACTGTATACACCTAAAAAGAGCTGTCTGTGGTGTTTCCTACCTTATCACCTTTTTCTCCAGCTGGCCCAGGCTGCCCATTCTCACCTCTCTGTCCTTTTTCCCCTGGCAGACCAGCTGGTCCTGTAGATCCCAAGGACCCAATCGGACCTTGAGCTCCCAGTCCACCAGGCTGACCCTGAAAAGAGTCCAAAGAAGTGAATGACTACTACTGTAAACCTCGCAGCAGGCAGCATTTTGGAGATGACTGTACGGATAAAACAAGGCTTACAATGTTTATATACTCATGATTCAAAACAGCTTGCTGTACAGCCTGCAGATCTGTTCCCTGGATTAGGTGCTATAGGAACACTACCTTCAAATGTAACAGCTTGCTCAAGGTGATAATTTCTCTTCACCTTCATCAGGTCTCCAGCACCACCTCTCTGAGATGCCTGGAATAAATTGCAAGTCCTCCTGGCTCTACCAATGTAAGTATCACCTTCTGCAAGCATAAGACTCCACTGAGCATCATATTTTTGCCACCAGAGAAGCAATGGCTCATTTTAGACAAAGGGACTCTGTACACATTTAGAACAAATCGAGAGAGTTCCCTCTTTCTTTTAAGTCACACTATATGCTAATTATCTTAAGTTTTTCTAGCTCACATATCTTCCATCATCACTCTCAGATCTTAATGCCTGATTTGAAAGTTGTGAAGTTTCCTGCAGAAAAAAATGATAGTTATTAGCCAACATATTTACAGAAAGTATCAATTTTAATAGATTATGTTAAAACAGTTTGGGAGGTTGCAGGATGTCATTTATCTATAAACAGTTCTACATTGAGTATCTGTACCTACAGTACCATACAGACCATCTCCGTGGATTTCTACTAACTTTTCCAAGGTAATACATATTCTCCTGAAGTAAAAATATTTCCCATGTCAACTGGATTTTTCAGTCTACAGCACTGGTGTGGAGTTGTTTTGGATTTGTTGCAGTTTTTGTTCTGTGCTGCTAAACAACTATTAAATCATAGATTCAAAGTGCTGAATAAAGCAAGCTTTCTAATCAGACTTCACATGTGAGCTGTCTACACTTTCACCCTACAAAATCTACATATTTACAGGTCTTTATTTCTCTTACTCATCTTTTTCATTCTGTATCATTATCTTTGTTTAGCTATAACTTGTTTTGTTTCCCTACTGAAGAGTGTTTTGCTTTCTTTTCAGAATTCATCAATCAATTATACCACATTATTAAAAAAGAGCAAAATGGAGCTCCATTCATTCCCAAGAAAAGCATATGGCTCTAAGACCACTTGAGGGCAGTAAAGGATATTTCAGTACAACCTCCATTCACAGAAATGATGGACCATACATTTATTTCTATGAATGGATTGAAGGAAAACAAAATGACAGAAATCAAAGATAATTGTAACGAAATATGTTAGCTTCAGCAGTCAAATTATGTTGAAGCAACAGAATTGAATTGCTTGCTTCTCAGTGTAAACATTTCAACAGACTGAATTTGTCTGAACAAAATGTTATCTTGTGAATTGCAAGCATGGACCTAAACCTCTTTTTATTTATTCTCTATTTGTCTTTTAAAATATGTCAATAAAATCAGTGTGATTTGACAGTTGGACATGAAGTGAAGAAACGTATGGTATGCATCATCCAATCAAATCAGCAAAGAAACAGAGTAATGAGAAGGTAACTTACTACATGCTTGGAACAGGAACATACTATAGGCTTACGCTGTACTGGAAGGAGGACTGGATCACCACTGGCCCTGAAGCTATGAGCAGGAATTTAGTCCAGAGGCTAGGAAAAGAAGTCCTACACTAACAAATAGGGACTACCTGAAAAAGTATCCTCATACAACTCATGTTCCATTTGTCTTTACTGGCTCCTCTCACTTAAACTTTGATCCTGCTTCCAGTGAAGTTACTGGCAAAAATTCCAGGGCAGAATCAGCATGTTGACTTCAGCAACAGTTACAATTTTCATGATACCATATTTAGAGCAGTGTAAAATATTATGCAAATTAAGGGCTACTAGTATTAAAATCTGCAGATTCTGCATCCTTGTTAACAATGAATGGACAGTCAGGATTCTGCGTGTTTAATTTGAGTATTTGCTTGCATGAACAATTGCAGCCTGTCTATTGGCAGTGCCTTGCACATCCTGTTTTAAAATGAATTTATTCATTGAAGTACTCTCAAAGCAGCTATTATAGCCTTTAAATACTTGATAAAAAAAAGACTGGACAACCATTTTAATTAAAGCATAATTTTGACTATAAGAAAAGTGAAATGAATGAGACTCATAGTAAAATACAACTTTTGAACCATTCACTTTACTGGAAGCGGTATGTTTTTTTAGTACACTGAACTAGCTATTACCATGCAAAATGCAACATTCATCAGCAGGA